CTTCTCCGGCAGCAGCTCGACCAGCTGCCGGCCGAGCGAGCGCTTCGAGTCGCCGGCGGCCGAGTAGGTGACGCCTCCGACGCGGACAGCTCGGACGCTCATCCGGTTGGCGGTCAGCGTGCCGGTCCTAGGTCGCGGGTGCTGAACGGTATCAATTTTGTGTCTTGTGCCTCCTTGAGCGCTTCTAGCTTCGCGCCCCCCATCGCCGCGATGGTCCGGTGGCGCTCCCAGCGGGAGGAGACCAGAGGGGGGGCTGGGCCGCACAAGTGCACAGCGACCCCGCTGGACGCCGCGGCCTCCGAGGGGGAGCTGTGGAGGAGCGTGTGCCTCATCTCTCGGTTGTGTGCTCATCTACCGTGCCGGTGCTTGTCTGAGCAGATGGTCGTGGCGGATCCCATCGTCTCGCACGCGTCGAGGTGCTTGACGAGGTTGTTTTGCGCCATCATCTGCCCGCGACGAGAAGGCGAGCGCCAGCTGAAGGTGAGTTGGGGGTGGGCCGAGATGAGCCGAGATGAGCGGAGGGATGGGCCGCGAGATGAGCAGAGGTGGATGCGCCTGCTGCGACGAGAAGGCCAGTGCAAGGTTGACGGCGAGCGGCAGCCCCTCGGGCACCGCGACGGCGAGCACGGTGATGGCGGTGAGCATGTACTCGATGAGATGGAGCCACTCCACCTCGAGGAAGTCCCAGCAGCCCTCCTCGCCGCAGCCACGGAAGGAGGGGTAGACGATGCCCAGCGCCACCATAGCGAGGAAGCAAAACACGGCTGCGGCGAGGCCAACCTTGAAGACGTCCTCGACGATGCCGTTGAGCTTGACGAACAGGGGCGACGCCTCGTCGTCCTCCTCCTCGTCGTGGTACACCGCCATCTTGATCTTGCCAGAGACCGAGTACGGCCCGACCGCGACAACCAGCATCCGGCCGGAGCCGCTCACCACGTCGGTGCCGGAGACGCAGAAGGGCGCCTCTGCGGTCTTCGGCATCGGGTCGGGCTCGCCAGTGAGGGAGGACTCGTCCACCTTGACGTCCGAGCCCGAGAGGAGGACCCCGTCACACGGCAGCGAGGCGAGGCTGTGCGCGTTGAAGGCGAGCACGTCTCCGACGACGATCTCGGCGTCCGTCACCTCTGTCTGCTCTCCCCGCCGCACGACGACCTTCTTGTTGGACTGGTTCAGCTTCGCGGCCAGAGACTTGAACTGCCGCTCCTTGACGTAGTCGGTCGCGGAGGACACGTTTACAATAATGAAGACGGAGAGGAAGAGGGCGGTGGGCTCGATCCAGGCGGTGCTCTTGTCCTTGCCAAAGACCAACTCCGTCGGCAGCTGCACCGCAGCCAGCACGAGCAGCATGATGAGCACGGCGTCGTGCAGCGCGTCCCACACCAGTTCGAGGTAGCTCTTCGGCTCCTAGGAAGCACCGCGAAAAACAGCTGATTGCAGCCGTTTCACGCGGCCACTGTGGGTAGCTGGGTGTTAGGCCGGAAACCTTCTCGCGAAAAGCATTGGCGCCGAAGAGGACCTTGCGGTGATCAAGGTCGGCCGCCTCGCCGCTGAGGCCCGAGCCGGCGCTTGATCCCAGCATCGACGCGAGCTTCTCGGCGCCACCACCGCCTGTGAGGTCTGAGAGCAGCCGCAGGCCGCCCGACTCGCGCTCATCCATGAGCTCCATCAGCTGCATCTTCTGCGGCCAGGACTCGGAATCGGTGCCATCGTCACCGAGCTGCTGAAAGCCGCTTGGGGCCTGGCGTGGCATAGATGGTGCTCTCTCGCTCGCTACCGCGCTACCGCCTCGCTCGCCTTGCTGCCCGCACGGCAAAAGAATTTTACCGCTCTTCTTTATCGCCGCCGCTACGGGCACGGGACTGGCGGCATTAGCCGGAATCACTAACACAGGTACACCGGGCGAAAAGAAAGCATGCCGGTCGTATTAATTCTTTTGCGGTGGTGCTGTGAGAGAGGTATATGGGCTCGGTCATCCTCCTCGGAGGCCCGGGTGACGGGTGAAAGAGCCGCCGACGAGAGACATGTACATGTCTAGGCTATTTCATAGGTCATAGCCCGCGCTTTGTAGTGCACCCCGTCAGCGCCGCGGTCCGTCGCCGCGCTTCCGCTCGCGCTTGCAATTTTCGAATTTGTGGCGGCAGCAGATGACGAGATGAGCAACCACTTGACATGAACAAAACAGATACGCGACTTCGGCTCACAGAGTACCCGGCCTAAATAACTGCGCCCGCCGCGCTCGGACAGCGTCCAGCGACATCGGACTGGCATATGAGAGAGAGACCGAATGGGGGCGAAATGCATGGCATCGGGGGCTCGCGGGAGTCAAATCCGGCGCCCAGATGAGATCGCGGGAGATCAGACCTGGCCCGAGACGAGGCCACAGAGTCTCTGACGCTGAGTCTCCGGCGCCCGCACGCCCTAGGTCACGGCGTCTCGCCGCCGGAGGTCAGAGCTTCAGCAGCGTCACCATCGTCTGGAGCGAGTCGCGTGCCTGCACCACCTCCTCCTTCGCGAGCAGCAGGTACTTGCGCACCTGCTCCTTGCCGCCGCCGGGGTTGTACTCGCCAAACGACGACGTGTATGCCAGCTGCGAGGGCGGGGAAGGGAAGGCGGGTCAAGCAGGGAGGAGGAGGGCGGCGAGAGCGACGGCTAGGGAGCGTCTGGGTGGCGCCCAGTGAGGCTCCTGCCGCCATCCGGCACACGGGTGTATCGTGAACGCCACATGCCAGCGGCACAGGCGGGACAGGTACAGGTGGATGGGCCAGCCGGCGCCTCATTGATCTTTGCAATGTGTGAGTTGAGGCCTTCGACTGAGTCGATCCACGTCTCAAAGTCGACGTCGTCGGGCAGCGATTTCTGCGCCTTGATCAGCAACTTGTCGACCTGGAAGAGCGGGTGGTCCGTCGTCCGCAGGCCGAGAAAGAAGCGCACGCGGTCGGGGCTGTCGGCGCCCGAGTTTGGGTCCACCGTCTCGCGGTCCCAGTTATCGAGCAGGAACTGCACAGAGTCGAGCCCTTTCTTTAGGCGGCTAAGATCGTTCGGGTCCTGTGCGGCAGCGAAGGCGGCCCGCGGCGCGGCCAGTGGCGCGAGGAATGTAGCGGATAAACCCGCGCCCAGCTGCAGGGATTCGCGGCGCGAGACTGCTGCGGTGCGGCCGAGGAGCGACCGTGCGGGCAAACTGCAGCGTTCGGGCCGGCGGAGGCTCTGACCGCCGAACGCCACGCCCACCGCAGATAGCAGGAAGCATGCCATAGCGGCTGTGCGCTGTGCCGGTTCTCCTGTCTGCTATAGCCGCAGCCACTCCCAGCTGCTCGGTGTGAACAGAGTTCGTACACCGAGCAGCAGGGAGCAACTCGAGATCCCTCGAGAGTTCACGCGGAGTCGGCTGGGGCTATACCAGACAGCCGGTTCTCGGAGACAACGTGTGAGGGAAGAAACCGAAAACCAATCAACCGCACGCACGCCGTCCAGGACACATCCTTCTGGGGACAAGCAAGCAAGGCATCTCGACTCTCGCGTCTCGGATGACAGACAGATTGACAGTACTCAACAGCTAAATCTCTCTCTCTCAACAGGGACATCTCTCTACACACATAACTCGAGTAGCGCTCTTCAGCTCTACAGCTCTACAGCGCTCTACGCTCTACACAAACACACCTCAGCTCCTCTCTCTCTCTCTCTCTCTCTCTCTCTCTCTCTCTCTCTCTCTCTCTCTCTCTCTCTCTCTCTCTCTCCGCTCTCTCGTAGAGTCATGTGCATGTCACATGATTGTCACATGTCGATGTCCATGCGCATGTTGTGCATGTGCATGTGCACCCCTCTCCCTTTTCTTTCTCCCATTAAGAAAACAGGATCTCGCGGCACGCCGCCGTTTCTAAGCCTTTCCAGACACCCCACCCACCCCACGCCGTGGTTTCTTAGCTTCGGCCGGCACCCCAGGTGAGACGGGATCTAGGTAAAATGACAATAAGGAAGCGCTGGACCGATGCGCCAGTCAGCAGTCTGCCACCCACTTGGGAAGACAGGAAGACGCACACACCTCCATCCACACCGCCCAGAACACACCGCAGACTCGGGCAAAATGACAAGTGCGCGCGCCGCAGGCGAAGAGAAAATTTGAGCGGGGCTCCTGCTGACTGAGTGAGGGAGGGTGTAGAGGATGTAGAGTGTAGAGCGCTGTAGAGCTGTAGAGCTGTAGAGCGCTGTAGAGCTGTAGAGCTCTACATCCGGCGCGTGACGATGCGCCTCCGTTGTAGAGCGATGTAGAGGCTGCTATTTCTATCGCCTGACGCGCACGTACGCGGGGGCAACGGTCAGCGAGCCAATTGAGATCCGCGCCGACAAAATTGATGATCTCTAGATTTGTGTGTTTTTGTGAGTCGAGATTCGCTTGTACGAGAGATGGTGTGTTGCATGGAGTTCCTCTCTACATGCTGTGCCATTCCCCGTGTATTGCCCACACTTTTTTAAGATGTTTTATCAGACCTCACACCACACATCTCTCCCTCTCTCTCTTTTGTTGAGTTTTCTTGAGAATTGTATCGAAAAGTAACCATAACAAAAAATACAGTCCGTGACCCCTCCCCTTCCCCCTCAGCGCGTGCAGAACAAACTCAGCTCAGAAGTGTCTTTCGAAAAGACAGTCGGCCCATTGGGTCCAGTCTGTCTACGCACTCGGCTGGCGAGCACACATTATGTGCCGGTAACCATAGCCAACCTGAAGTCCATGAACTACGTTACCACCGTCGTCCAGAGTGCAGATAGCCTTTTCATCCCAATTTTTCGCAGTGTACGTGCAATAGGTATTGCTTTCTTCAAAGAATTGTTTGAGGGTCGTGGCTGGTCCAGGCCTATCCCAACCCTCTGGGAAATAGGAATTGATAGCGCGATGCATGTTGTTGACAATGCCCCTGTCCTGACCCATGTAATAAGATTGAGGATCCGTCTTGCAATATTGTTGGTCGTCACACAATGGCTTCATGTTTACTTTCGCGCATTCGTCAATCATGATCTCGTCGAAATTCCCACTTGTTTCCATCGTTCTTATTCTTTGGAACGTCCACAAACCTGGGACGTTGTCGTTCTTGGCACCCAATTCCATCTCAAATGGGTCATCATGCTTGTACGGCGGCTCCTTGGCACATAGGATAGACGGCTCGTCCCTAACGGATGCCCAATGGAAGCCGTAGTAGTCTGACTCGGGAGGTGGGTAGGGGCCCACGCACAGAGACTGATTAGGCCCCCCCCCACTCTTGCCTCGAGGTCCCCAGCGAGTGTGGGGACTGGTCGATGGCATACTAGGGGGGGCAGGGTAGTGGGCGGCGATCGCCGCATACCGTCCTATGGCGGCGAGTATCGCTACGCCAGGGAGGACAAGGACGTCGACGTGCGGCTGCTGCTGTTCGAGTCGTTCGGCGGGGTTTGGGAAGGGGGTCGGCGAGATCCTCTGGGGGGCGGCGAACGTGCTGCAGGACAAGCTGACGCGGGCCCAGTACCTCGATGAGGTGACTTGGACCACCAAGAGCTGGCTGGGGCTGCAGAAGCAGCGCATCTCAGTCGTTCTTCACACGGCCATCGCAGAGCAGATTGTGAACGAGCTTGCCAGCGGCGAGGGCGGTCGAGTGCACGGAGCTAAGTGCCTCGCCGTCCTCGCGGGAGTCGCTTAGGCGGCTCCAGTGGTGTACCTGTGTTAGTGCCAGTGCGCGCCAGTCCCGTGCCCAGTGTTGTGCGAGCCGTGAAAGATTCTTTTGAAGTGTGCTGTGAGAGGTAGGTAGGTAGGTAGTAAGGTGAAGAACAGCCAGGCTCGGACTGGACACCAACGCGGTATGGGTGGACGCTAGACAGATGATGACGACACGCACGAGCGACACACAGACACAAACAAGCTCACAAGACACACAGCCAGCTGGCTGCCACACACCCTGAGTCGGCGTACACATAACTCAGGGCCACATCCTCCCTGTCGCCCCCCCCAGCACTCCACGGTGCCAAGGGCACAAACAAGGGCACAACTCAAACAACAGACAACAGGAAGTGATATGCGTGAGAGAGGCGTGGGTTTTAAGAATTCTTTTGAAAACAGCGCCGCCCCGCGTGCGAGATGCCTGAAAGCACAGCCGAAGGCGAGGCGGTCGCACAGTGGCTTGAGAAGCGGCCGACGGCCGTGCAATGGGAAGTGTTGCCTCCAGCCCTCCGGGCGAGGCTGGGCTCCGAGGCCGCCTGGCTGAGGGCGCTGAGGGCACACTCGCTCGGCCTGCAACTGCCGTGGTCATCGGCTCTGGGCGTGGAGGAGAAGGAGTACCTCGCGGAGCTCCTCAAAGCCTCTCGCGAGCGGCTGCTCCTCTACCCGTACCACCTAGCGCGCCGGCTCGCTGCCTGCTGGCCCGCTGAGACACCCTTCCGCTACTACCGCGAGATGCTCTTCGAGATGCTCCGGTCGGAGCGCTCGTACGACACGATTCCGAACTTCACGGCTGCCGACGCGGCGAGGCTCCTCCGGGTCGGCCGCAACGAGTTTCTCCACGCCCTCAACGAGTGCCGCTCAAAGGGATGGCTGTGGAAGCGGCGGCGCGGACTCATCATGAAGCAGCTGCCTTCGGCGCCGCCGCCGGACCTGCCGCTCGAGGACTGGTGGGTCGTGTGCGCGAGCGAGCCCGCCCTGTCGATCGCCGCCGATCTGCTCGCTGGACGGGCACCGCGCCGCACGCGCGGCCGCAGCGGCACCGGGCTGGGCGGCAGCGGGCTGGGCGGCAGCGGCGGCGAGCTCGGTGGCGATGACGAGGCGGACGGCGGCGGCGCTACGGGCGACCTCGGCGACGGCCAGCTCGGTACGGCGGCGCGCGACGCTCTGGTCGCGCTGAGCGCGGCGCGCGACGGGCGCGCGCTCGCGGCGGCTCTGCCAGAGGAAGGGGTGCGATTCGACGTAGAGAGAGAGAGATAGCGAGCCTCGCCGCTGCCACCACCCCCCTTCGGCCCGCCCGCGTGGGGCGTGCATCGAGAGCCGAGGAGACCAGCAGGACGGCTCGCTCTCCCTCCCAGGTGCGGGAGCTCTACGCGAGCGGGCTCGTGCGTCTCGAGGCGCGCGACACGCCTCTGCGGCGGCGCCACCCCTTGTCGACGAGGCCGTGTGCGGCCGTAGGTGGCGGTGGAGGCGTCGGACAAGCTGGCGGTGCCTCCGCTGGTCGGTTTCGTGATGAACCGCGTCGGCAACGACTGGATGGAGAAGCTGCTCTACGAGCTCTTCGTGTCCAACGACGAGACGGCAGAGGTGCGGCAGCTCGCGTCGCTGCTCGACCAGCCCCTCGATCGCGTGCTGATGGCCGCCTCGCTGGCGTGCCGCCTCGGATTCGCGAAGAAGAAGGCGCCTCCCGAAGCCGCTGCGGCGGCAGGGCAGGCAGAGGCGGGAGGGGCGCAGGCGCGCGCAGCGGGGGGCGGCTTGCCTCCTCTTTCCGCCTCCGCCACGTCCGCCCCCGAGTTCATGGCGGCGCCCGAGGGCGGCGGCGAGGTGTCGCCGCGGGACGCGAGCAGCGGCGCGCGCATCGCATTGCTTGTCGACTCCAAGCTCGCCGCCTCGCTGATGATGTCCAATCTGGCGGCCGGGCTCAAGCAGCACGCGGTGACGCTGTACGAGGTCGGCAAGATCCCCGCCGAGTCGCTCGACGCGTTTCTGGAGGCGGCGGCCGAGGTGGAGCGGCCGCACGAGCTCGAGCTGCTCGAGTACTTTGACCACGCCATCTCGCTGCGCATCGCCGCCGCCTCCCTCCGCGCCGCCTGCCCCGGTCGGCCGCTCGACATCGTGCGGACCGAGTCGTTGCGCGAGCTCGGCTCGTCGAAGCTCGCGCGGCTCCTCGGCCGCTCGTATGGCCTCGCCGTCTCGATGGCGCCGCTGCTCTCGCACTCGGAGACCGTCTTCACGCGCGGCACCGGGGTGCCGCACGCGGGCCCGCTGGCCCCGGCGATGGTCTCGCCGTGGGCGAGGCTCGCCCTGTACGCGGCGGTTGGCGCCGGACCCCCTTCGGTCCTGCTGCGGCGTGGCACGCGGCTGCGGTCGCTGCCGGCGCCGCTCGCGTCTGCCCCCTCCGTGCTTCTGACTAGCTGGTCGGGAGAGACGAGCTCTGCCAAGGCGTGGGACGCGCCGCCCCTCGCCCCGGCCCCCAGACACGCGTCGGGAGGTCGTCACCTGAGGCCGTCACCTGTCTTGCCGAGCACAGGCGGGCGGCGCCCTCGTCGCAATCAACGAGCTGCTGCTCCTCTCGCCGGTGCTCGTGCAGGCCGCCGAGTCTGCTCGTCGAGCAGGGAGGGGCGAGCAGCTCGCCCGATCCGTCTCACCCGCGCCCCTCGATGACGCCCTCCAGGCGTACGACGCGGCCCCGTCGCGTGCCGCTCAAGTCTCCTTCCCGCTGCGTGCCGCCGACCTCCACCCCGACCTGCTCTCGCTCGAGGTCGCCGCCAACGGCGCCGGAGGCGGCGGCTCCGCCGAAGCCGGTGGCGGCGACGGGAGCGGCGGCGGGGCCGGGGCAGGGAGTGGCGACGCGAGCGGCGGCGTTGCTGCCGGCGGCGCCGGCGCGGAGGCGGTTGCGGCGCGTGTGGTGCAGTGCTTGCGCTTGCAGGGCACGTTTGGCTTTGTGCAGCTCGTGCGGCTGTCCGGCGAGTGGGTCCCGCTGGACCTCCACCTCGGGCTGCCCCTCTTCGACGTCGCTCTCTGCGAGGAGGTCCGGCCGAGATCGGCCGAGTTCGCCCGAGATTGGTCACAAGGTCCGAGCGGAGGTTGGAGATTGGTCACAAGGTCCGAGTGGAGGTTGCGTGAGGAGCACGAGAGGCCTCCATCACGCACAAGGCGCACCAGCCACTCACTGCGGCTCCCGCCCCCGTCTTGTGCGACGCAGGTCTGCTCGTCCATCCAACGCGACGGGCTGCTGCGAGAGGCGGCCGCGCCAGCTCTGGCCGCCGCCGCCGAGGGCTGGCTCGGCCGCGTGATAGACTTTGCTGGCGCGTACAGCCGGGTGGCGGACCGGGCTGCCGGCCGTAACGACACCCGCCCCGCCTTTTGTCCCGCGGCGAGCGCCGTGGACGACGGCGCCGCCGCCGGGGCGCCCCTCCCGCTCGTAGATTTGATCTTTGACGGCGCCTCGATCGGACGCTTCGACGAGGCCGAGCACCGCTGCTAGCGCGGCGTGGCCCATATACATCGACCTGGCACCGCAGCTTTGGCCCCCCCCCCCAGGACCACGAGCTCCGGGCGTGTCACGACTCACGTAGCACCGTACATGTGCATGTCCGTGTACGCAGGTTCCCTAGTTTATTTTGATTACGTATCGTTACCGTATCGATGCGTATACGTTATACGTACACACGTGTGTTTGCTCCGTACACGAGTCTCGAACCTTGTGAAAGCCGTACGTGCTACATGATGACACCACGCTTGAAAAACCATTCTGACGAGCCGCCGAGCATGCTTGCGTGGACGTTTCGGGCTCCTATCCCCCGCCCCGGATCCGTGGGCGATCGCACACGCGGCTGGGGGGCACGGCGCGAGGTGCCAGGTGGCGCTTACCACTGAAAAGGAGGTTTTGGAGCCCCTAAACGCGTCATAATAGCCGCACGTTTGCCTTCGCCGTGCCTTGCCATCTCCGAGCCGCGCCCCCTCCTTCAGTTTTAAGGCGAATCGGGTGCCGAACTCGGCGTCGACAGCTTTGGCTCGACATCTTTACCATTTTGGCGAGAAACGCATAAGCCGCCCCAGCGAAATGGCCGATACGGCCGGAATCGGAGGCAGCGCCGGGGCGGCTTATGCGTTTCTCGGGGTCGTGTGGTTTAGCCGGATATCGACCTGGTGTCCCGTGGGGACGGTATTGAACTGCCTTAAAACTGACGCCGTGCCAGTTGTCGGCGCGCCGCGATCTGCATACCTGTTCGTACCTCTACAGTAGTGCGGCCACGTGTATTGCTGTTCGGCGAGCCGCGTTCCGCTCTCTCGACCGTGAGGCCAGTTGGCGGGCGCCCAAAGCGCCTGGTTTGTGCGTCGAGCGGTGAGCTCACAACAGACACCGTCCGAGCCCGATGCACGCCAGGCGTCTCATTCCAAGCCCACTACGCATTCCCACGCGCTGGCGCCGCTCGAACCCCACCTCTTTGAGCCGGTTACCCCGCGGCAAGGCAACTCGGCGCTCTCGATGTGCGCACTAGGCAGTCTCAACGCCGATTACAGCCGAGCGCGCACGACTCGTAGGCGTACCGGCGTGCCGCTGGCATACTACGCGACGGTGGAGGCGCGTGGGCTTGCTCAAAAGGCATGCATCTGTCGGAGAGCGTGCCGCAAGACCTGATGTGCCTCCGCTCCAGGTGTGTGGCAGTTCGATGGATCCAGCCCAGCGACCTCTACGTGACGATTGAGGACTGCTCTTCCCCTTTGGCCGAGCCTCCAGTCCCTGCCACCGTGCACCTGGCGCCAGAAAGCTGCATTTACATCCCGCACGCGCGATCGGCAGTCGAGTTACAACCCGCAGCTGTGCTGTGTGCGCGCGCACTCGAAAGTGGTTCGGCGATCTCTCGGCGACCACTCGTCGACTCGCGCTCAGACGCGAGGTGCGTGCTCGCCCGGCCCCCCGTGAGGGGACTAGGCCATTTTTAGCGAGATCGGGGAAATCACTCTCATCGCCCGCCGCTCACGCTTCCCTCCCTCTCCCGCTGCCGCCGTATCCGGTCCTAGCCTGCGATACATTGAGACCTCACGCCCCGCGACTGTCTTCCACGCTCGCAGGCGGGCCTATCCGCCGTGCCACTCCATGCATGATCACCGCTGGGGGCAGCGGTGCTCGTGCGACTGCGGATTCGGCCTCACCTCACGCCCTCTGGGCTGCAGCTGCACGTTGCCGGGGGCCATTCTCGAGCCCTCTGGCGAATGGGCCCAAATCCGGGCTCTGAGCACGCCTACTGCTGACGATCTATGTAGCTAGTGCGGTGGGGTCTGGCGCAGGTGCGCGAGACCGTCGCCACGGGGGGGACGCGCGATTATGTGGGCGCTCCCGAGGGGGCGAAACCGCGTGTTCAAGGGAAACCAGGCGAATTGCGCCCCCAAAATGGTCCTGAGCGGCTCCCACGACCTCCCCAACACCCGAGGTGCACGACACGACCGCTTGTTCGAACATTAGCGACACAAGTATTTATTCCTGTGGGTTGTGTCATCGTGGGGGCTCCAAAACCTCCTTTTCAGTGGTAAGCGCCACCTGGCACCTCGCGCCGTGCCCCCCAGCCGCGTGTGCGATCGCCCACGGATCCGGGGCGGGGGATAGGAGCCCGAAACGTCCACGCAAGTATGCTCGGCGGCTCGTCAGAATGGTTTTTCAAGCGTGGTGTCATCGTGTGTGGCTATGAGCCGTACGGCTTTACGACGTACGAGGTCTCTAGCGGTGTACGTGTACGGAATGCTAGTTGCTGCACGCACCGCGACACCGACGACACCGTGACGCGCCCTACGCGAGCTTGCTGCCGCCTTGCGTAGTTCTCTCGTCAAGAGCTCAAACCAGACCGGCCTAGCTTCTAACGCTGCCCGAAGGCGTCCAAATCGATTCCTGGCACCTCGTTGACGGGCAGGCCCGTTGCTGGGTCCAGCGCGTCCTCCAGCTGCGACGGGTCCTCAATCTCGACACCGATGCACTCCGGGATGCGCTCGAGGACAAACGCCTCTAGGCGCTCGAGCACGCGGGCGCGCGCGTGCCAGAAGCGACCGCTCAGCCGGATCACGACCGTCGGGCCGTCAAGCTCAACGAGATCCGCGCGCCCGGTGATTCCCACCGCGGCCGACTCGGGGTTCGAGCCGAACATGGTGCCGAGGTCGCGCTCCGCCTCATCCAGGACGGCCTGCACATTCTCCTCGGTCAGCACGAGCTCCAGCAGTATCGGCCGCGTCCGAGCACCGCAGCGGTGCCGCAGCGACGCCGGCCTCGCCCGCCAGCTCGCGGATGCGGAAGAAGGAGTCAGAGCGAATGAAGCGGCCTCGCCGACGAAAAGTACGGCGAAAAGGAGGATGCACGAGATGGAGAGCATGGCTCGCGTGTGTACACTCCCTGGCTGGCTCCTCCGCACCACTCCCTCGCACAGAAAGAGAAAAGAGAAAAGACGAAGCTGGAACACAACCCACTCTACTACTGAAAAGAGAAAACACAAAACAAGAACACAACCCACTCTCACATGACAAGCGATCCCACGACAGCGATTGTGCGTGAAGGGTGGAGGGGCCCGTGGTCCGCAGAGCTATAGGCGGCGTGGGCGCCCCCCCCCACTGGGGCCGCCGGGGTAGAGGCCGTTTGCCGCTTGCTTGTTCTTGACGTCGTTGACCCAGTTCGCAGTTGGCACGCTCAAAGCACAAAGGGGAGTTGACCCAGTTGGTGCGCATCTTGCGCGCCTGCTTGTTGATGTTGTCGGCGTCGCCCGCCACCGCCGCGCTGCGTGTGGTGGACGACAAAGGAGGAGGCGCCTCTGGACAGAGGCGGCCAAGGCTCACGCCGACAGGGGTGGCAGGGGCGGTGATAGGAGTCTCCCACTCTGTGGGCTTCGCTAGAGCGTAGAGGTGCGGCCTAGGGTGCGGCCTGCGTATCCGTATGTCCTCGTCCTTGAGGTCTTGAAGGCGGGAAGGGGCTGTGTGTCTGTGCATGCATGCATGCATGCATGCATGCATGCATGCATGCATGCATGTGTGTGTGTGTGTGTGTGTGTGTTGTGTGTGTGTGTGTGTGTGTGTGTGTGTGTGTGTGTGTTGAACTCTCTTCTTGATTGATGGGAAGGCGAAACACAGTCCGACCAACGACTGGGACACCAACGCGGTATGGGTGGACGCAGGGATGTCTGTGTGTGTGCACACGTTCACGGCCAAAGGATATCCACCTCGAGACCCTCGAAAAAAAAGAAAGAAAGAAAGCAGACAACCCAAGGGAGGGATGGGGAGGACGGCACGCCGCCACCTCACAGGGATTTTAAGGAGAGGTGTGTGATGCGCTAGCCGTCGCCCACCCTAGGGAGTCTGCCTCTTCCTCGACCTCGAGAACACGTTCACGGGGATTAGAGATTTTTTTCGCCGTCAACGATTGGGGTAGGGGCCCTAACTCGTGTGAGGCTACTACTTTCTCGCAGTGACTCGCATTCTAGCTCGTCTACCTTACCTTACCTTACCTTGCCTTCTAGCTCGCTCTGAGCACACAAGCGCGCTGTCTCGCGAGTGAGAACGCCCTTTTCTTCTCTTCGCCTTTCCCACGCTCTTCGAGAGCCCACGAGGACGCGCCCTATCCACGCTGGCGCGCTCCTCCGCCGCTCTTCTCGTCTTTCTTTTGCTTGAACAAAAAACGCGCAATGGCCGACGGTGCTCCGACTTCACTCGACGAGCCGCTCATCCGCCTCGGCAGGCGTCGCCTTCAGCCCACCGAAACGGTGGCAAGAACGGAGGCCACGCAGCAGCGAGACGCGCTCCTCCCATTCGTGGTCATCTCGTCCACCTATCTCCTCTTCACCATCACCGACGGCGCGCTGCGCATGATCGTCCTCCTGCACGCCTACCGCAAGTCCTTCACGGCGATGGAGGTCACCTTAATGTTTGTGCTCTATGAGCTTGCAGGCGTCGGAACCAACCTCGCCGCTGGAATCGCCGGCGCTCGATGGGGCATCCGCGCCACGCTGGTCACCGGGCTCCTGCTCCAGATCGTGACCTTCGGCCTCCTCTTTGGTTGGGAGGACGGGTGGAGCAAGAGCCAGGCCATCCTCTATGTCACTGGCGTTCAGCTCTTCGGCGGCGTGGCCAAGGACCTGACCAAGCTGGGCGGGAAGACGGTGACAAAGCTGGTGACACCCGAAGAAAAGGAGACGCAGCTCTTCAAGCTCGTCTCCCTCCTCACCGGCGCGCGAGGTGCTCACGCTGTGAGGGCCACGCCGCTGTGCCGACTCTTGCGTCGGTGAGTAGGCTGGAAGAACTCGCTCAAGGGCGTCGGCTACTTCCTCGGCTCGTGGCTGATCGGCATCTCGTACGGGCTCGCCCTCGGCGCGATGATGGCCCTCGTCCTGCTCGCGCTGCCCATGGCCTACTTTGGCCTCGACCCGCAGCTCGGCGTCTCGCCGTCCCCAGGGCGGCTCCGCCTCTCCGACGTCTTCGACCGATCCAACCCAAACCTAAATTGGCTCTCGCTCGCGCGCCTCTTCCTGTTCGCCTCGCGCGACTTCTGGTTCGAGGTCCCCCTCCCATTTTTCCTCCGCAGCCCCCCGTGCGCCGCCATCGGCAGGCCGTGCGCCGACGACTCGGACTGCGGCAGCGGCACCGCGTGCGACGCCGAGGCGGGCGCTTGCGCCAACCTCAACCCCGGCG